AATCGAATAACTTTTTTTTTTTTTTTGAGATAAGAGTTTCACTTGTTGCCCAGGCTGGAGTGCAGTGGCGCGATCTCTGCTCACCACAACCTCCACCTCCCGGTTTCAAGCGATTCTCCTGCCTCAGCCTCCCGAGTAGCTGGGATTATAGGCGCCCGCCACCATGCCCGGCCAATTTTTGTATTTTTAGTAGAGATGGGGTTTCACCATGTTGTTCAGGCTGGTCTCGAACTCCTGACCTCAGGTAATGCATCTGCCCGCCTTGGCCTCCAAAAGTGCTGGGATTACAGGCGTGAGCCACTGTGCCTGGCCATAATTTCCTTCTTCTAATGAGGACATCAGTCATTGATTTAGGGTCCACTCTCGTCCACTTTGACTTCATCTTGATTGCATCTGTGAAGACTGCTTCCAAACACAGTATACCCCCCGACCCCCAGTTTCACTTTCCACTGTTTCAGTTACCCATGGTCAATTATGGTTGGAAAATATTACATAATGAAGAAAATTTGAGAGAGAGACACAGACACACCACCAGACGCCACATCCTTATAACTTTTATTACAGTATCTTGTTATAATTGTTCTATTAGTTATTGCTGTTAATCTCTTACTGTGCCTAATTTGTAAACTTTATTGTAAACATGCATATGTAAGAAAAAAACATACTGCCAGGCATAGTGGCTCACACCTGTAATCCCAGCGCTTTGGGAGGCTGAGGCAGGCAGATCACCTGACGTCAGGAGTTCGGGACCAGCCTGGGCAACATGGCAAAACCTCGTCTCTACTAAAAATACAAAAATTAGCCGGGCATAGTGGCAGGTGCCTGTAATCCCAGCTACTCGGGAAGCTGAGGCAGGAGAATCACTTGAACCCGGGAGGTGGAGATTGCAGTGAGCCAACATCACCCATTGCACTCCTGGGCTCAAGTGATTCTCCCACCTCAGCCTCCAGAGTAGATGGGACTACAAGAGCACACCACCAGGCACACCACCAGGCCCAGCTAATTTCTTATTTTTAAATCTTTTTTCGTTTTTGAGACATAGTCTTGCTGCATTACCCAGGCTAGAGTGCAGTGGCGCGATCTCGGCTCACTGCAACCTCCACCTCCCAGGTTCAAGCAATTCTCCTGCCTCAGCCTCCCGAGCAGCTGGGACTACAGGTGCCCACCACCATGCCTAGCTAATTTTTATATTTTTAATAGAGACAGGGTTTTACCACGTTGGCCAGGATGGTCTCAATCTCTTGAACTCGTGATCTGCCCGCCTCAGCCTCCCAAAGTGCTGGGATTACAGGCGTATTGCTCCCGACCAGATTTCTGTATTTTTAGTAGAGACGAGGCTTCGCCTTGTTGGCCAGGCTGGTCTTGAACTCCTCACCTCAAGTGATCTGCCTGCCTTGGCCTCCCAAAATGCTGGGATTACAGGTGGGAGCCACCACACCGGGACTAACTTTTATTTTTGTAGTGACTGGGTCTCACTATGTTGCGCAGGCTGGTCTTAATCTCCTGGGCTCAAGCGGTCCTCCCAGTGTGGCGTCCCAAAGTGTGGGGATTACAGGTATGATCCACTGCACCATGCCTTAAGTTCACCCACACTTAAGGGGAGCAGAATTTGCCTTCGTTTTTTTTTTTTGAGACGGAGTCTTGCTCTGTCGCCCAGGCTGGAGTGCAGTGGCCGGATCTCGGCTCACTGCAAGCTCCGCCTCCCAGGTTCAAGTGATTCTCCTGCCTCAGCCTCCCAAGTAGCTGGGACTACAGGCGCCCGCCGCCACGCCCAGCTAATTTTTTGCATTTTTAGTAGAGACGGGGTTTCACCGTGTTAGCCAGGATGGTCTCGATCTCCTGACCTCGTGATCCACCCATGTTGGCCTCCCAAAGTGCTGGGATTACAGGTGTGAACCACCGCACCCGGCCTGCCTTCGCCTTTTAAAAGCAGGAGTGCCAAAGGATTTATGAACCCGTCACAGACGGGCTCATGTAAACTATGTAAACATACATTGTCTACTCACCACTGTACCCCCAACAGAGTACCTACCACAAAGTAGGCACTCACATGCTTTTGAGTATCAATGGCAGTACTTCTTAGATATATTTTCTGCACCATGAGTATGTGCATAATTTTACCTGTAGAAAAGGCTAAGGAAGGCTGGGCGCGGTGGCTCATGCCTGTAATCCCAGCACTTTGGGAGGCTGCAGTGGGTGGATCACCCGAGGTCAGGAGTTCGAGACCAGCCTGACCAACATGGTGAAACCCCATCTCTACTAAAAATACAAAAATTAGCCGGGCATGGTGGTGGGCGCCTGTAATCCCAGCTACTCGGTAGGCTGAGGCAGGAGAATCGCTTGAAGCCAGGTGGCAGAGGATGCAGTGGACCTGGGCACTAAGAGCGAAACTCCATCTCAAAAAAAAAAAAAAAAGGCTAAGGAAGTCCATTCCCCAGCAAAGTGAAGAGTGCCTCCTTTGTGCAATGCATGCCTGCCATAGAAGAGTTTTCCTTGTCTAAGAAACATGCAGTTGCCAAGCCAAAATCATCTGTTGCCAAGCCAAAGTCATCTGCTTTCAAGCTCTTTGGTTAGTATTTGCTTTTTGTTCATTGACTTGCTACCTTTCAGCATTTTCTAGAAGAAAAGGGTTGGCAGAGCCTGATGATCTAAGGGAAGCTGCAGAGGAAACTAGAAATTGGAAGGATAATTTGGTCTGGAGGTGAAACCAAGTTTTCCTTTGTGGAACTGTTCCACCAGCCACACACTAAAATGTGTCATCTGGCCACCTGGCTGGGTGTGGTGGCTCACGCCTGAAATCCCAGCACTTTGGGAGGCTGAAGTGGGAGGGTCACTTGAGCCCAGGAGTTCAAGACCAATCCAGGAACCATAGTGAGACTCCATCTCTGTTTAAAAAATTTGCTAGCCGGGCGCGGTGGCTCAAGCCTGTAATCCCAGCACTTTGGGAGGCCGAGATGGGTGGACCACGAGGTCAGGAGATCGAGACCATCCTGGCTAACACGGTGAAACCCCGTCTCTACTAAAAAAATACAAAAAACTAGCCAGGTGAGGTGGCGGGCGCCTGTAGTCCCAGCTACTCAGGAGGCTGAGGCAGGAGAATGGCGTGAACCTGGGAGGCGGAGCTTGCAGTGAGCTGAGATCCGGCCACTGCACTCCAGCCTGGGTGACAGAGCCAGACTCCTTCTCAAAAAAAAAAAAAAGCAAAAAATTTGCTGGCCAGGCGCGGTGGCTCAAGCCTGTAATCCCAGCACTTTGGGAGGCCGAGGCGGGCGGATCACAAGGTCAGAAGATCAAGACCATCCTGGCTAACATGGGAAACTCCGTCTCTACTACAAATACAAAAAATTAGCTGGGGGTGGCGGCGGGCGCCTGTAGTCCCAGCGACTCAGGAGACTGAGGCAGGAGAATGGCATAAACCCGGGAGGCGGAGCTTGCAGTGAGCTGAGATCACGCTACTGCACTCCAGCCTGGGCGACAGAGCAAGACTCCATCTCAAAAAAAAAAAAAAAAAATTGTCATCCCTTATTGTACAGATGCGGAAACTGAGGCAGAGGCATTAAGTGACCTGCCCAAAGTTACACCGCTGACAGCACGATGAGGAGTCGTCAAACCTGGTACTAGGCATGGGAAGACTGCTTCTTTTTCGCTCTTTTGAACACCGTTAGGACGAGATGGGTGTGTGGTTCATGCCTGTAGTCCCAGCACTTTGGGAAGCTGAGGCAGGAGGACTGCTTGAGGCCAGGAGTTTGAGACCAGCCTGGGCAACATAGTGAGATGTTACCTACAAATAAAGAAATTAACTGGACGTGGTGGCACATACCTTCAGTCCCAAGTACTTGGGAATGTACTTAATGCCTCTGAACTGTATACTAAACTGCATATTAAAATGGCTAGGCCCTGTGGCGTGGTTCACACTTGTAATCCTGGCTCTTTGGGAGGCTGAGGTGGGAGGATTCTCTTGAGGCTGGGAGATCCGGATTGCAGTGGAGCTGTGATTATGCCACTGCACTCTAACCTGGGCGATAGAGTGAGATCCTGTCTCTGAAAACAAACAACTATATGATGAAATATACATACAAGTTACCTTTTTAGTATTTTATTTTTTCGAGACAGGGTCTCCCTATGTTGCCCTGACTGGTCTTGAACTCCTAGGCTCAAGCGATCCTCCTGCCTTGGCCTCCCAAAGTACTGGGAAGACAGGTGTGAGCCACCGCGCGGGGTGTGGCCATTTTAATATGAAGTTTAGTATACAGCTCAGTGGCATCAGGTACATTCACCATGTTGTGCAACCATCACCACCGTCATCTCCAAAATGTTCTCATCCTCCCAAACTGAAGGTCCGTTCCCGATAAACACTCCCCACTCTCCTCCCCAGCCTCTGGGTACCACTTGTTTTACTTATTTATTTACTTATTTATTTATTTTTGGTATACATGAGGGTTGGCGGGGGTGGGGGTGCTATGTTGGCAAGGCTGGTCTCGAAATCCTTAGCTCAAGCGATCCCCCCCGCCTCAGCCTCCCAAAGTTTTGGGATAACAGGCGTGATCCACTGGGTTATTTTCCAGTGGTTGTCCTCCACTCCGGCAAAAAACAAGAGAAGACACAAGCACCCAATACCCGTCCCGTGAACAGCAGCCCAGAGCCAACCGCTCCGGAGAGGCTCGCGCCCCACGCGGCGAGAACCCGCCCCCGCCCGCACGTGACCCGCGGTCTCCCGCGCGGAGGGCGGTGGCCTCGCGTGGACCGAAACACTGTGAACGCCCGAATGGGGGGAAACAGGCGGTGACGGCCGCTAGGGAAGGACTGGGGGTAAGCGATTAAAGCAACTCGCATACATTTTTGCATTGCGCCAGGGAGTCGTCTTTCTAGTCGTGCGGGCCGCCTCTGGCTCGCCCCGAATTCCTGTTCTCCTTTTTGGAGTAGTCTGTCCTTTTGCGCAGTCAGTAGGCGAGTCCAAGTGTCAGACACCGACAGGGGGGTCTTTAGTAACGTAAGCTAAACAGTTTGCCTAGCGAAAGGCTGAGACGCCCTGAGCAATCGCCTGTCGAGCCTCCACTCTTCCATGATAATAACTGTTGAGTTAGAGGACATTTTCATCCCATTCTGGATACTAAAATCATTTCTGGTCCCCGCCTCGGGCGCCACAAATAGTTCAGCCCCGCCTCGCAGCGTCCGACGGGAGAGGAAAGGGGAGGCCGCCATGTTGGACAGAACCATCCGCTGCCATATATGGGGTGGCCAATGCGCCCATGAATTTAGTGATGGACGGAAACAACCTTGTTGAATGGAATTAAGCACTTTCTTGTCACAAGAATGTCAGTTTGGTGATTTGCTGGACGCGGCTTGCGGATGCGAGTCCTCTCAGGGTCGTCGTGAGGCTCCAGGGCGTGGGTACACCCCCCGCCCCGCGGCCTTGGTACGGCCTCCCCGTCGCACGCACATGGCTGAGCTGTAGCCGGCGCGGCGCGCGGTGCGGCCTGGGAGAGTCGGAAGCGCGGCGGCCGCGGAGCCCTGCGAGTAGGTAGTGTCGGGCCCATGCAGGACGCAGAGAACGTGGCGGTGCCCGAGGCGGCCGAAGAGCGTGCCGAGCCCGGCCAGCAGCAACCGGCCGCCGAGCCGCCGCCAGACGAGGGGCTGCTGCGGCCCGCAGGGCCCGGCGCTCCGGAGGCGGCAGGGACAGAGGCCTCTAGTGAGGAGGTGGCGGTCGCGGAGGCCGGGCCGGAGCCGGAGGTGAGGACCGAGCCGGCGGCCGAGGCAGAGGCGGCCTCCGGCCCGTCCGAGTCGCTCTCGCCTCCGGCAGCCGAGGAACCTCCTGGGTCGCACGCTGAGCCCCCTGTCCCGGCACAGGGCGAGGCCCCGGGAGAGCGGGCTCGGGACGAGTGCGCCGACAGCCGGGCCCAGGCGGCGTCCGAGGACGCGGGAGGAAACGAGGGCAGCGCGGCCGAGGCCGAGCCCCGGGCGCTGGAGAACGGCGACGCGGACGAGCCCTCCTTCAGCGACCCCGAGGACTTCGTGGACGACGTGAGCGAGGAAGGTGAGGGCGCCCGGGGCAGGGCTGGCGAGCGGCGCGGGAGCGTGACTGGGGTTCCGGAGGTGGGAGATGTCGTCGGGCTGTGCCACTGGTTCGTGCAGAAGTTCCAGCGAGGGTGTCCGTGTGTTCCTGGAAAGCCACCGAGGGAGGGGTTCCCGAGTGCCCTAGAAACGTTCTGAGACCCCAGCGCCTCCCCTTTTCTTTCCTAAAAAAGGGGACAGGATGGAGCTAACTTCGTGAGCCAGGGATTTGCATGACAACCAGAAATCTGAGAGGGTGGGAGAGGGCACAGGGGTACTCTGTTCTGGCTGGGTGTGCTGTGAGTGTAGCAGCTGGGGTTACAGCAAAAACCGAAGACCCGGTGTCAGGTTTGCGGGTCTGCGTGTCCCAGCTGACCAGTCAGACCTCCCGAGGTCTGGATCGGAGGAACAGGTTGTCGCAGAGCCGGTGATTTTGTCCTCCTGCCCCGCACAATTGTCCATCTCCAGGAGACTTCCCTAGTGGTACAGGCAGACCCTGTCAAATTCCAGTTTGGTTCTCCTTTATCCCCTCTGCTAAACCTGTAAGGCGAGTTATTTTTCCAGGTTTTAATATTGTTGATAACAGCCTGCTTTGCCTTCGTCTCAACCTTGATTGGATTTACAGGCATATTTCTGCTTCCGCCTCAGAGAGCTCTTTTCCTAAAGTGACTTCTGATGAGAGCTGGTCTCATTTGTTTTTCTTTTGTTTTTAGCTCTCTTAAGCCTTTAAGTTGAGAAACACATCAGCCTCTGCGGATTGGCTAAGTTAATACTGGAGTGAGAAAAATAAAAATACCCTTGCTGACGCAGCCAGATATACACCAAGACAATTTAGGGAATAACGTGGAGTTGCCAACTTATAATTGAAACGTATTTTTAAAAGGCTATCAGAAATACAAAAATCAGCCAGGTGTGGTGGTGCACACCTGTAGTCTCCGGTACTTGGGAGGCTGAGGCACGAGAATAGCCTGAACCCAGGAGTGGAGGTTGCAGTGAGCCAAGATCCCACTGCTGCACTCCAGCCTGGGTGACAGAGTGAGACCCTGTCTCAAAAAGTGAAAAATTAAAAAATAAAAAGGCTGTCAGTTACTGTGGCCATTATTATATTACACTTTTTTTTTTCATAGAAGACATTTTAGCAAGAAAAGCAGGAAGAACACCACAAACTAATGAAGACTTTGGGAACATCTAGTCTGCGCCCCTCAGTCCTGAGGAAATGTGTCCCTGAAGGTGGAGTAGGCTGCTGAGAATTCGCAGTGGGTTCGCTCTGCGTGGCTCACCAGACTCTCCTGCTCAGAACAGTGTTCTTTCTTTTTTTTTTTTTGAGACGGAGTCTCGCCCTGTCTCCCAGGAGTCTCACCCTGTCTCCTAGGCTGGAGTGCAGTGGCGCGATCTCGGCTCACTGCAAGCTCCGCCTCCCGGGTTCACGCCATTCTCCTGCCTCAGCCTCCCCAGTAGCTGGGACTACAGGCACCCGCCACCGCGCCCGGCTAATTTTTTGTGTTTTTAGTAGAGACGGGGTTTCACCGTGGTCTCGATCTCCTGACTTTGTGATCGGCCCACCTCGTCCTCCCAAAGTGCTGGGATTACAGGCGTGAGCCACCGCGCCCGGCAGAACAGTGTTCTTTCTAACACTTCAGTAGTTGTTATAGTTTAAAATCAAAATTTTTGGTTTAATGATTATTTTGAGCCCTTGGAAATTCTGCTATTTTTTTTAAAGTATTATTTGAGCCCATCGAATTCAGATTTCTAATGTGTAAATTATTTCTGGAATTGGGAAGAGTTAGTGGATGCTAATATGACCACAAGGTTGGCCAGGCTGGGTGATGACTGTGGGTCCTCAGGGGTCCCACGTGGCCCTGAAGGTGCAGTGTTGGCCAGAGTGACAGGTGAGGCATCTGGTCCTGAGGACTAAGGCTCAGCAAGCAGGCTTTGTCCTGGCCCGCCTGGTTGTGGTAACGCAGGTGGGTTGTGTGCGTTATGACAAGAGCTGCCCTTCAGGGTCAGTGTGCAAGATAGTATATGAGTGTGTCAGTTCTTTCCAAAAGGGCCGAGTCTTCCAGATAGTATATGAGTGTATCAGTTCTTTCCAAAAGGGCCGAGTCTTCCAGATAGTATAGTGTATCAGTTCTTTCCAAAAGGGCCGAGTCTTCCAGATAGTATATGAGTGTATCAGTTCTTTCCAAAAGGGCCGAGTCTTCCAAGGAGCAGACCAAAGGTGGCCTGGAGTCCCTGTCTTGCCTTCTTATTTTTTGGGTGCAGATTAGCATCTCAAACTGTAATCATCCTTTCAGTTTAATGTTTCAGCTGATCAGGATTTTAACTCTAAATGTCTTTTTTGCATTATTAACTATTCTTTTTGTTTGCTATTTAGTGTTGAGAATTGTTCTCTTCTTTTTTTCCTGGAGACAGGTTGGGAATCTGTGAGCCACGTGTCACCGATGCTTGGGCCGAGAGTGATGAAGGCGATGTGTCTTCATGGTGTAGTTACTTCATTTGTTTCCTTCCTAGGTGTGGGCTGGTTCTCCTAGACTAGACGCTTTGAGCTTGTGGGAAGGAGTACGCAGTTTGTGTAAAAGCTAAGCTTTTTATTGCAAGCCTTATAAATTCAGATCAGGCTTGTCAGGCCATTTAATTGTATGGTAAGTGCTTTAGAAGGTATCCTGGGATTTGACTAGTTTCCACAGCAGGGTGTCCGGCACTGCAGTGACTGGCAACTGCCTTTTTCCCTTTTTTTTTTTTTTTTTTTTTTACATCTCGTTCCTCTCAATTTTAGCATCTTTGAAAATAAAATGGAGATTATTTTTTAGGGTAGTATTTTCAATATTTCCTTTTTTTTTTTTTTTTTTTTTGAGATGGAGTCTCACTCTGTTGCCCTGGCTGGGGTACAGTGGCTCACCGCAGCCTCTGCCTCCCCAGTTCAAGCGATTTTCCTGCGTCAACCTCCTGAACAGCTAGGATTATAGGCACCCATCACCACTCCTGGCTAATTTTTGTATTTTTAGTAGGGACGGGGTTTCACCATGTTGGCCAGGCTGGTCTCGAACTCCTGGCCTCAAGTGATTTGCCTTCCTCAGCTTCCCAAAGTGCTGGGATTAGAGGCGTGAGCCACCATGCCTGGTAAATTTTCAATATTTCTGAAAGGTTTTTTTTGTGTGTTTTTTTTTTTTGAGACGGAGTCTTGCTCTGTCACCCAGGCTGGAGTGAGCCACCATGCCTGGCCAACTTTTGAGAATAAATAAAGCGAAGAATATTTTCTGACATCTGCATATTTAGTATGTTGAAATTACTATTATTTTTAGAGATGGAATCTCACTCTGTTGCCCAGGCTGGAGTGCGGTGGCGCAATCTTGGCTCACTGCAGCCTCCATCTCCTGAGTTCAAGCAATTCTCCTGCCTCAGCCTCTCAACTAGCTGGAATTACAGGCGCCCACCACCATGCTTGGATCTTTTTTTTTTGTTTTTTTTTTTTGAGACGGAGTCTCACTCTGTCGCCCAGGCTGGAGTGCAGTGGCCGGATCTCAGCTCACTGCAAGCTCCGCCTCCCGGGTTTACGCCATCCTCCTGCCTCAGCCTCCCGAGTAGCTGGGACTACAGGCGCCGCCACCTCGCCCGCCTAGTTTTTTTGTGTTTTTTTAGTAGAGACAGAGTTTCACCGTGTTAGGCAGGATGGTCTCCATCTCCTGACCTCGTGATCCACCCGTCTCGGCCTCCCAAAGTGCTGGGATTACAGGCTTGAGCCACCACGCCCGGCCTTTTTTTTGTATTTTTATTAGGGACAGGGTTTCACCATGTTGGCCAGGCCGGTCTTGAACTCCTGGCCTCAGTAATCTGCCTGCCTTGGCCTCCCAAAATGCTGGGATTACAGGTGTGAGCCACTGAGCTTGGCCCTGTCCTGAATTCTGACTATGTGATGCTTTCCAAAAGCCCTGCGAGGCATTTCATCACATTGAGGACAGCTTCACGTACCACTAAGAAAAAAATACTGTTACTTAAACTCTGTGGGCATGGCAGCTCCCACCTGTAGTCCCTCCTACTTGGGAGGCTGAGGCAGGAGGGTTGCTAGAGCCCAGGAGTTCAAGGCTAGCCTGGGGAGCATAACAAGACCCTGTCTCTTAAAAAAAAAAAAAAAAAAAAAAAGCTGTTTCAGGAACTTGTATATTCTCCAGTCTCCTAGTTTAAGTGCAGGTCTCTGCCCTGATAGTGTTTTTCTAAAAGGCTCTTTGTGATATAATAAGAAATGTGTATTTGGGCTCTGCCCTGGTTCTTGGCACACAACGTCTAAACACTTGGAATCTCCAAAGTGATAAGTGTCTTTTTGTAGACAAGTGAGATGATTGATGGCTGGGGCTCCTTGCCAGGGAACCAACCACGTGATTAGAGGGCGGGAACTTTTAGGGCTCCCCCTGCCCCCCAGAAGGAAGAGGCTGAAAGTTGAGTTGATCACCGGTGCTCAGTGATGTCATTAACTATGCCCATGTAATGAGATCTTCCTAGACATCAAAAAGGACCAGGTTCCGGGGGCTCCACGTGTGGGAACAGGTGGAGGCTCCTGCAGGGTGGTGGCCTGGAGAGCACAGGGAGGCTCTGCACTTCTCCTCCATCTGCCTGTTCGTCTGTATCCTCTGTAACGTCCGTGATAATAAGCTGGCAAACCTAGCTCCCTGAATTCTGTAAGCTGCTGTAGCAAATTAATGGAACCCAAGAAGCGGGGGGTAGTGGGAGCCCTGCTTTGTAGCCTGTTGGTCAGAACTGGAGGTGACAGCCCACTACTTGCGATTGCCATCTGAAACAGGGACCAGTCTTTGGGACTGAGCCTTCAGCCTGTGGGATCTGGTGCTGATTCCCGGTAGATCATGTCTGAATTGGATTAAGTAGAGGACACCCAGCTGGCAGCCCCTGGAAAACTGCTTGATGTGGGCCCCACATCCGGTGTCAGAAGTGTTGTGTTGAGTGTTGTGTGAGTCGGAAAAACACTTTGCTGTGTCCTTGTCTCCTTCAGTTTGGTTGTTTATCCTTAGAGCTTTTTAATATAAGGAATATTGGGCAAGGAGTTGTTCCGGACGAAGGTGCCTGTTGATGGGCCATTTGCAGTGGAGAGAGGTGGGGAAGCTCACCCCAGGCGTGCTTCCTCTGTTTTTTTTTTCTTTTCTTTTTTTTTTTTTTTTTTTTTTGAGACGGAGTCTCGCTCTCTTGCCCAGGCTGGAGTGCAGTGGCGCTATCTCGGCTCACTGCAAGCTCCGCCTCCCGGGTTCCTGCCATTCTCCGGCCTCAGCCTCCCGAGTAGCTGGGACTACAGGCGCTGCCACCTCGCCCGGCTATTTTTTGTATTTCTTAGTAGAGACGGGGTTTCACCGTGTTAGCCAGGATGGTCTCGATCTCCTGACCTCGTGATCCGCCCGTCTCGGCCTCCCAAAGTGCTGGGATTACAGGCTTGAGCCACCGCGCCCGGCCTGTTTTTTTTTCTTGATTCACTTGTGAATGGCCATCCAGTACACGGCCTGAAAACATGAACATCACCAGGAACAGGAGGTGGGAGAAGAGTTACTACTTTCATCCCAATTCACTCGAGAGAGGTTCCTCCTTGAATAATTTCTAGTAATTTGTATTCACAACACAAATGTGCTGTGAATATACTGAGCATTTAAATACTTACTTGTTTGCTGAAATCTTCCGTAAAAAGTCAGTTTTCACTGACATTGCGATGGGATTCTGCCTAGACGTTGCTAGAAACCTTTCAAAATCTAGGGATCTCTGGAAGCTCTAATATTGGATATTCTTTAGACTGTCTTTTTCATTTGCATTTTGCGTTGTTAAAATCTTTTTGTTGTTATTCTTTTGTAGTCTTTGGTTATTGCCAGAACTTAATTGACCTATCTTGACTGTTTACATTTCCATCAAAGGGAGAGAGGAGCGTTCCAGTCCCCGCAACTCGTGTTTAAAATCTGAACCAAGCCAGGGTTGGGATTTCTTTTGCTCACAGTGAAGCATTTAGATGATTCATTGGCTCTTCTTGGAGACTTGTTTAGTGTGCTCAGTTAATGTATTAATATTTTTCTTGGTGAAAATGATCATTTGAAAAATCTCTCTCTGGTTCAGAATTACTGGGAGATGTCCTCAAAGACCGGCCCCAGGAAGCGGACGGAATCGATTCGGTGATTGTAGTGGACAACGTCCCTCAGGTGGGACCTGACCGACTTGAGAAGCTCAAAAATGTCATCCACAAGATCTTTTCCAAGTTTGGGAAAATCACAAATGATTTTTATCCTGAAGAGGATGGGAAGACGAAAGGGTGAGTGTTCTCCCGTGGGAGAAGTCTCATCTGTGTCTGGCACGTCGTGATGAGGGAGTGTTGCAGGAGCTCCCTGCAAACACAGCTCCTGCCTCGCCCAGGCACGTGGGCCGTTCACTTCTTCAGGCCGCCCTCAGCTGGAAGCTCTCCAGAGCAGTGAATGAGAAGATGATAAAGTTTAAGTTAAGGTTTTAAAGTTTGTTTAAATTACCTAGAATAGACCAGCATCGTGGCTTACGCCTTAACTCCCAACACTCTTGAAGCCTGAGGCCAGGAGTTGGAGGCTGCAGTAAGCTATGATAACGTAGCTGCACTCCAGCCTGGGTGACAGAACAAGACTGTCTCTAAAATAAGTGAAGTAAAAACTAGAATAGTTTTAGTTTCTAGAAAAATTATCAAATGCAGGTAATGCTGCTGCATTTTCTGTGTTGGGCAGTCGATTGAGGGATGGCCTCTTGACCCTCAGCTACTCATGTTACAGTGAAGCATTCTCTGAGGTCCTTTCTAATCTTGCCTGTTATACACAATATTAGACCTTTTTTTTTTTTTTTGAGACAGAGTCTTGCTCTGTCGCCCAGGCTGGAGTGCAGTGGCGTGATCTCGGCTCACTGCAACTCCGCCTCCCGAGTTCATGCCATTCTGCCTCAGCCTCCCAAGTAGGTGGGAGTACAGGTGCCCACCACCACGCCTGGCTAATTTTTTTTGTATTTTTAGTGGAGACGGGGTTTCACCATGTTAGCCAGGATGGTCTTGATCTCCTGAGCTTGTGATCCGCCCGCCTTGGCCTCCCAAAGTGCTAGGATTACAGGCGTGAGCCACCACGCCCGGCCTAGACTATTTTTAATTTTTTTTTTTTCTGAGACAGAGTCTCACTGTGTTGCCCAGGCTGGAGGACAGTGGCGTGATCTTGGCTCACTGCAACCTCCGCTTCCCAGGTTTAAGCAATTCTCCTGCCCCAGCCTCCCAAGTAGCTGGGATTACAGGCTTGCACCACCATGCTTGGCTAATTTTTGTTTTTTTTTTTTTTTTTTTTTTGAGACGGAGTCTCTCTCTGTCACCCAGGCTGGAGTGCGGTGGCCGGATCTCAGCTCACTGCAAGCTCCGCCTCCCGGGTTCACGCCATTCTCCTGCCTCAGCCTCCCGAGTAGCTGGGACTACAGGCACCCGCCACCTCGCCCGGCTAGTTTTTTATATTTTTTAGTAGAGATGGGGTTTCACCGTGTTAGCCAGGATGGTCTCGATCTCCTGACCTCGTGATCCGCCCGTCTCGGCCTCCCAAAGTGCTGGGATTACAGGCGTGAGCCACCGCGCCCAGCCTGTATTTTTAATAGAGAGGGGTTTTGCCATGTTGGCCAGGCTGGTCTCTAATTCCTGACCTCAAGTGATCTGTCCGCTTTGGCTTCCCAAAGTGCTGGGATTGCAGGTGTGAGCCGTCGCGCGTGGCCAAGACTTTTTTTTAAACAGCTCTGGAGATAATTGATATACAATAAATCTGCATAGTTTTAAAGTATACAATTTAATAGATTTTGATGTGTATATATCACGAAACCATTGCTACAGTAAAAATAATGGACTTTTTGATTAACTTTTCTATAATTTATGATAACAAAACTAAAGACTTTGGATCTTTTGGTTAGGGTTTCCCTCACTTAGGAGCTCCCTGGCTGTGGGTCTGTCCCCCGTGTGACTGCCTTAAGCTCGAGGCAGGAAGAGTAACACAGAGACTCCTGGCACGGAGGGCTTGTCCGTGGAGAGGAGTGGGGCAGGCAGCGCGTACCTGCCTAACCTTACAGTGTGCACGTGTGCCAATGGCCCTCTCTCACTCAGGTATATTTTCCTGGAGTACGCGTCCCCGGCCCACGCTGTGGATGCTGTGAAGAACGCCGACGGCTACAAGCTTGACAAGCAGCACACGTTCCGGGTCAACCTCTTCACAGATTTTGACAAGTGAGTTCAGACTTGGCCACAAGGAAGTAGACATTGATGTGCGAGTGAGCGGCTGTGTGTGGGTGGCTTGGTGCTTCTCAGTGGGTGCTGGTGCCTGTCAGGTTGTTCACGTCCTTTCTGGTCAGGCTGCCACAGGGCCGTTTCATAGCCCTGCCCCATGCTTCTGGCCTGCAACTCCCCTCCCCGTTATGCCAGTCACAGCCCTTGGGGTGGGCAGGCTGGAGCACAGCAGGGCCATGCCGGACCCCCACGGGTGCTCTTTCTAGTCATCAGGACGTGGGGCTCAGCAGTTTCCTTTCTCCTCCAGGTATATGACCATCAGTGACGAGTGGGATATTCCAGAGAAACAGCCTTTCAAAGACCTGGTGAGTGGCCTGAAACCTGCATCTCAGCGGTTTAAAGAAATGCTGCTGGGTGTGGTGGCTCACACCTGTAATCCCAGCACTTAGGGAGGCTGAGGTGGGAGGATGGCGTAAGCCCAGGAATTCAAGACCAGCTTGGACAACAAAGTGAGACCCCCCTCTCTACAAAAAGTAAATAAATACATAAATTAGCCAGACCTGGCATTCACCTGTTTTCCCAGCACTTGGGAGGCTGAGGTGGGAGGATCACCGTGAGCTGGGAGGTTGAGGCTGCCGTGAGCTATGATTGTGCCACTGGACTCCAGCCTGGGCAACAGAGCGAGACCCTGTCTCAAAAAAAAAGAAAAGAAATGCTGGATGGTGTCTTGACTTGAGGTTAGAGTGTGACTTGGGAGTTAAGGTGTGGACTGAATTTGTCATATCTTTAAGAGCAGTAGTTGTGAATGAGTTTTTTATTAAAATTAATGAAATGTTATATTCTTTGCCTTTTTTTTTTTTAAGGGGAACTTACGTTACTGGCTTGAAGAGGCAGAATGCAGAGATCAGTACAGTGTGATTTTTGAGAGTGGAGACCGCACTTCCATATTCTGGAATGACGTAAAAGACCCTGTCTCAATTGAAGAAAGAGCGGTGTGTATTTGCTGCTGCTGGGGGCGGGGACTCATCTGTCCCATATTTCCTTAACAAAGTGGAACTTTGTTTCTATCAGAAAACTGGAAGAGCAGGTGATGTTATATTTTCTTTGAGATTACTTTCTGAAAACAACTTTTATTCCTCTTCCAGCTTTGAAGTAAATCCTGAGAAGTGAACAGGCTTTGTGTATTTCAGTTAAGAGTTTGCAGAATAGGCCAGGCGCGGTGGCTCAAGCCTGTAATCCCAGCACTTGGGAGGCCGAGGCGGGCGGATCACAAGGTCAGGAGATCGAGACCATCCTGGCTAACACGGTGAAACCCCGTCTCTACTAAAAATACAAAATATTAGCTGGGCGTGATGGCGGGCGCCTGTAGTCCCAGCTACTCTGGAGGCTGAGGCAGGAGAATGGCGTGACCCTGGGAGGCGGAGCTTGCAGTGAGCCGAGATCATGCCACTGTGCTCCAGCCTGGGAGACAGCGAGACTCCCTTCCAAAAAACAAAGAAAGAAAGAAAGAGTTTGCAGAATAGATTCATTGTAGGAGGAGTCTTTGTGTTTGCCATTTTGTTGTATTAATGTTGGCACTGCCTTTTTCTGCAGAGATGGACAGAGACATATGTGCGTTGGTCTCCTAAGGGCACCTATCTGGCTACCTTTCATCAAAGAGGCATTGCTCTATGGGGGGGAGAGAAATTCAAGCAAATTCAGAGATTCAGCCACCAAGGGGTTCAGCTCATTGACTTCTCACCTTGTGAAAGGTAAGCTGCTAGAAAAAAGATGATCTAGCTAATCCGGCTGTTGGAGTCTATGCTTTTCACCCCATGCCAGCCTTCTACAGGTGATCTTTCATTTTGCAGCATTTCAAACTTAGTAGAAAAATATAGGAGTAAGGAGAACACTAGTATGCTTTTTACTGAGATCTCACGTTCGGTTGCATTTATGTTGTCATCTCCTACACAGATATTTTGGTTGCATTTATGTCGTCATCTACACAGATATTTTTTCCTGAGCCATTTGGGAGTAATTTGAAGTAACGTGTCCTTTCAGCCCTGAATGTGTATTCCTGGAAATAGGATTTTGTTAGCATGACCACAGTGCAGGTGCTAACTTCAGGGATTTAACATTTGTTGAATACTTTAATGTATTGTCATATTCTGATTTTGTTACTTGATCTAATAATGTTCTGTATAATATTTACTTTCCTTCAGTTCAGGATCTAGTCTAAGGTCACATATTTTACAGATAAATTTTCCTGCCTCTGTCACCCAGGCTTGGCGCCACCCGGTGGCCCCATTGCAGGCTCATTGCAACCCCAGCCTCCCAGGGTCAGGCGGTCCTCCCACCTCAGCCTCCTGAGTAGCTGGGACCACAGGCACACGCCATGACATATGGCTAATTTTGTTTATTTTTTTGTAGAGATGGGGGAGGTCTCACTTTGTTGTACAGGGTAGTCTTGAACCCCTGGTGCCAAGTGATCCTCCTGCCTTGACCTCCCAGAGTGCTGGGATTACAGGCATGAGCCACTGCACCTGGCCGAGCCGTGGTTTTTGATCTAGCTAATCCGGCTGTTGGAGCTCTGCTAGGGAAAGGGGCAGTTGTGGAAGCAGTGTGAGGACGAGCTGGGGCCACTGTTTTCGCCCTCACAGGTTGTGTCTGCCTTCTCCTCTGGTGTTGTAAGGGACCGTCTGTTACACACTTTGTGTGAACTGAGTGAGCAGGTGAAGTAGCTCCAGACAAACCAGCAGTCAGGTAAATCATGGCTGAGAGGAGCCCCCAGCCTCTGAAGTTTCCCATCAGACCTGTGCTGGCTTTCAAACTGGATGGGACTTTTTTTTTTTTTTTTTTTGAGACCGAGTTTCACTTGTCGCCCAGACTGGAATGTAATGGCACAGTATCAGTTCACTGCAACCTCCACCTCCCGGGTTCAAGCTATTCTCCTGTCTTAGCCGCCTGAGCAGCTGGGATTACAAGTGCCTGCCACCATGCCTGGCTAATTTTTGTATTTTTAGTAGAGACAGGGTTTCACCATGTTAAAGCTTGGTTGGCCATGGTTGGCCAAGCTTGTCTTGAACTCCTGAGCTTGAGTGATCTGCCTGCCTCTGCCCCCCAAAGTGCTGGGATTACAGGTGTGAGCCACTGCGTCCAGTCGTAGTTTTTTACCTTGTTAGTCTTTTTTTTTTTGAGACGGAGTCTCTCTGTGTCCCCCAGGCTGGAGTACAGTGGCGCGATCTCAGCTCACTGCAAGCTTCGCCTCCCGGGTTCACGCCATTCTCCTGCCTCAGCCTCCTGAGTAGCTGGGACCACAGGTGCCCACCACCGCGCTTGGCTAATTTTTTGTATTTTTTTTTTTTTTTTTGAGACGGAGTCTTGCTCTGTCGCCCAGGCTGGAGTGCAGTGGCGTGATCTCCACTCACTGCAAGCTCCGCCTCCCAGGTTCAAGCCATTCTCCTGCCTCAGCCTCCCGTATAGCTGGGACTACAGGCGCCCGCCACCGGGCCCGGCTAATTTTTGTATTTTTTTTAGTAGAGACGGGGTTTCACCATGTTAGCCAGAATGGTCTCGATCTCCTGACCTCGTGATCCGCCCGTCTCGGCCTCCCAAAGTGCTGGGATGACACGCATGAGCCACTGCGCCCAGCCAATTTTTTGTTTTTTTTTTTTTTTTTTTTTTTTTTTTTTTGAGACGGAGTCTCACGCTGTTGCCCAGGCTGGAGTGCAGTGGCGCGATCTCGGCTCACTGCAAGCTCCGCCTCCCAGGTTCCCGCCATTCTCCTGCCTCAGCCTCCTGAGTAGCTGGGACTACAGGCGCCCGCCACCGCGCCTGGCTAATTTTTTGTTTTTTTTTGTTTTTTTTTTTTTTTGAGACGGAGTCTTGCTCTGTCACCCAGGCTGGAGTGCAGTGGCCGGATCTCAGCTCACTGCAAGCTCCGCCTCCCGGGTTTACGCCATTCTCCTGCCTCAGCCTCCCGAGTAGCTGGGACTACAGGCGCCCGCCACCTCGCCTGGCTATTTTTTTTGTATTTTTTAGTAGAGACGGGGTTTCACCGTGTTAGCCGGGATCGTCTCTCGATCTCCTGACCTCGTGATCCGCCCGTCTCGGCCTCCCAAAGTGCTGGGATTACAGGCTTGAGCCACTGTGCCCGGCAATTTTTTGTATTTTTAGTAGAGACGGGGTTTCACTGTGGTCTCGATCTCCTGACCTTGTGATCCGCCCGCCTCGGCCTCCCAAAGTGCTGGGATTACAGGCTTGAGCCACCGCGCCCGGCCAATTTTTTGTATTTTTAATAGAGACGGGGTTTCACCGTGGTCTCGATCTCCTGACCTTGTGATCCGCCCGCCTGGGCCTCCCAAAGTGCTGGGATTACAGGTGTGAGCCACTGTGCCCAGCCTACCTTGTTAGTCTTAATGAAACATGAGTAAAGATAGAATTCCACACTGTGCCTCCCTCTAGATCACTCAGCAGCCTTTTGTGTGGGGCCTGTGAGATCTTTCTGTGCTGATCTTGGAGAAACCAGAGTGTCTGCAGTGTATTGACACCAGAATGAACAAGCGCTGCTGCTTCCCTCTTCCGCTTGGAACTCTTGGGGCCGGGCAGTGTGGGGTTGCGGGAGAGAGTTGGTTCCATGAGTTCTGACCGCGTGTTCTGGCCGCACAGACAGACTACGATCCTCTCGTGAGAGGAGGGTAGCATACAGTGTGGCCCCTCTCTTCTAGGTACCTGGTGACCTTTAGCCCCCTGATGGACACGCAGGATGACCCTCAGGCCATAATCATCTGGGACATCCTTACAGGGCACAAGAAGAGAGGTTTTCACTGTGAGAGCTCAGCCCATTGGCCTATTTTTAAGTAAGTGGACCATTGTAACGAGCTCTGTAGCCTTTGTCTTTTCATTGGAACACCTTGGCATTTGTTTCTTCTTCTTAGGTGGAGCCACGATGGCAAATTCTTTGCCAGAATGACCCTGGATACGCTTAGCATCTATGAAACTCCTGTAAGTGGTCCCGGTGATGGAAAACGCCCCGTCCCATCCTTGCTTGTAACTGGGGTGTGGTGCTTTTCCGTATTTGTGCTAGAAGAGGAGGAGGAGGTTTCACAGATGCGTAGGAAAGTCCTGTCTCCTGTGCCTTTTTAACAAACCTTGCTCTGGGCAGAGCTCTTCAGTCACTCCTGCCCCCCTGGCACAGCCGTGGGGGGTCCTGGATGAGAGTTAATGCAGTGGGCTTCAGAACTGCAGTTCTCGGTGGTGGGTGGGTGGGTGGAATCATTGTCATCCTCTGTGTGCGCTGCCCTCTAGGCAAATTCACATCAGACTCTGGTTTCCTTTTGTAAAAAGTTAAGTGTGCTTCTGAGACACTGACATGATTTGACTCAACTTTAGCCTTCCTTTTTTTTGGGCAGTCTATGGGTCTTTTGGACAAGAAGAGTTTGAAGATCTCTGGGATAAAGTGAGTATTCTTATCAATTTGGTGTCTTCTTGCGTTCAGGCTGCTTAACACAATACCATAGGCGGGTGGCTTATGACAGCAGAGATTTCTTTCTCCCAGTTCTGGAGCTTGGGAGCCCGAGGTCAGGGTGCCTGCAGACCCATGGTGAGGGCCCACCTCCCTCCTCATGGACGGCCCCTCAGTCCAGCCTTCCCGGAAGAAGGCTTCCGGGGCTGCTCTGTAAAAGCTGTCATCTCATTCCCGAGGGCTTCACCCTCAGGACCTCCCACCCCCAAAAGGCCCCACCCCATGCCATCACCCAGGGGGTTAGAATTTCACCCTGTGAATTCGGAGGACACAGACGTGGTCCATTGCAGTTGGTTTCCTTTATTTGTGCTCTCTCCTTTAGCACTCAGCTTTTTTTTTGTTGTTAAAGAGACAGAGTCTTGCTCCGTCACCCAGGCTGGAGTGCAGTGGTATGATCTCCGCTCACTGCAACCTCCACCTCCTGGGTTCAGGTGATTCTTCTGCCTCAGCCTCCCGAGTAGCTGGGACTGCAGGTGCCCACCACCATGCCTAGCTAATTTTTGTATTTTTCACAGAGACAGTTTCACTGTGTTGGCCAAGCTGGTCTCAGAACTCCTGACCTCAAGTGATCCGCCCACCTCAGCCTCTCAAAGTGCTGGGATTACAGGCGTGAGCCACTACCCCCGGCCATTTTTAAATCTTTTTTGAGACGCAGTCTTGCTCCGTTGCCCAGGCTGGAGTATAGTGGTGTGCCTCCCAGGTTCAAACGATTCTGGTGCTTCAGCCTCCCGAGTAGCTGGAATTAACAGGCGCACCACCACCACGCCTGACTAATTTTTTGTATGTTTTAGAAGAAACGGGGTTTCACCATGTTGGCCAGGCTGGTCTTGAACTCCTGACCTCAAGTGATCCACCTGCCCGCCTCAGCCTCCCAAAGTGCAGGGATTACAGGTGTGAGCCACCATGCCCAGCCTAAGGTGAGTTTGTTCTGGACGCCAGGATGGAGGCTTGGGTCGATGGGCAAGGCTGCTCAGTGCTGGGCCCACCACCCTCAAGGCACCACTTCAGTGACCCCTTTCCTGTGCCCAGAAATGAATCTTCCAAGGCCAGAGCCTTGAGTCGGCTTCCTTCCATTTACCTCGTCTTTGACCTAGAAACTAGGGGGGTTTCCAGCCTTAAGGAAGAGAGGGGACTCTGCTTAGGCGAAAGGTTTTCCTATTGCTCTTCTGTCTGAGGCAGAGTTTGGGGAGCCTTCAGCTCATTTTCACCATCAAAGAATGGGCACGTTTTTATTTATCGGAAAACTTGGGACTAGTCAGTATTATAGTAGTGAACTACCAGCAATCCAAGGACATTGACGTGTCTTCTTTCATTTTTACATTCTTGGGCAAAATTATGGCTTATAAAATGAGAAGACCAGGACGTTGGTTCTCAGTAAATGCAAAACAGCACATAGCGTGTATAAAGCTGTTTTTCATGTAGGTGAGCTCAGGATCGTTCGTTCCTTACAGCAGCTTTTCTGTAGAGAGGTTGATACAGTGGAGGGAGTTGCCCTTTTTCTTTTCTTTTTTTTTTTTTTTTTTTTTGAGACGGAGTCTCGCTGTGTCACCCAGGCTGGAGTGCAGTGGCGCGATCTCGGCTCACTGCAAGCTCCGCCTCCCGGGTTTACGCCATTCTCCTGCCTCAGCCTCCGAGTAGCTGGGACTACAGGCGCCCGCCACCACGCCCGGCTAGTTTTTTTTTTTTGTATTTTTAGTAGAGACGGGGTTTCACCATGTTAGCCAGGATGGTCTCGATCTCCTGACTTCGTGATCCACCCGCCTCGGCCTCCCAAAGTACTGGGATTACAGGCTTGAGCCACCGTGCCCGGCCTGAGTTGCCCTTTTTCTTGCTCATTCCTTATACTTGATTTGCCGGTTTCCCCATTTGCACCTTAATTAATCTTCAGATGACGTAATAGCCCGGTCAACCAGCCTACAACTTACTTGCGTCAAAGCAGCAGTGTGCGGTGTCTTAAGAGTGGGCTGACAGAGCGTAGGCTGGAGTCCCTATGAATCTGTGTGTGATGGTGGGGTTGCTAATACTCTGTCTGCATTCATTCCCTGTTACAGTGAGCACGGTAGTGCCCCAGGGTCCTGGCGAGGACCTGTGAAGCTGCCCGGCGGGAGTGCTCAGCGTCAGTTATAACAGCATTGAGCTTCTGTATAGCAAATGAGTTGTTTTATTTTCTTCTGCTTTTCAGTTTCATCACTTGGCCTTTGCTTTAGCGTTTTATTTTCCTGTCGTGCAGAGACTTTTCTTGGTCTCCTGGTGGTAACATAATCGCCTTCTGGGTGCCTGAAGACAAAGATATTCCAGCCAGGGTAACCCTGATGCAGCTCCCTACCAGGCAAGAGATCCGCGTGAGGAACCTGTTCAACGTGGTGGATTGCAAGCTCCACTGGCAGAAGAACGGAGACTACTTGTGTGTGAAAGTAGATAGGACTCCGAAAGGCACCCAGGTATGTAGATTCCCTTGGGAACTGGCGATTCATTATCCTCAGCTCTGAAGTGGCCACCGTATTGTTTGGAGGTTGTTAATGGATTTTGTTTTGTTGTGTTTGTTTTTGAGACGGAGTCTCGCTGTCACCAGGCTGTAGTGCAATGGCGCGATTTTGGCTCACTGCAGCCTCCGCCTCCTGGGCTCAAGCGATTCTCTTGCCTCAGCCTCCCAAGTAGCTAGGACTACAGGCGTCCGCCACCAGGCCCGGCTAATTTGTGTATTTTTAGTAGAGACAGGGTTTCATCATATTGGCCAGGCTGGTCTTGAACTCCTGACCTCAGGTCTGCCCACTTCGGCCACCCAGAGGGATGGGATTACAAGCGTGAGCCATTGTGCCCAGCTGAGAATACTATTGTCTTTCTGAGCACAAAGAGTAGTATACCCAGATTTTTTTTTTTTTTTTGGTGGTTGATCATTTAATACTTATTTTATCAAAAAAATTGCCTGAGTTGGCTGGGTGTAGTGGCCCGTGCCTGTAATCGCAGCACTTTGGGAGGCCAAGGTGGCCAGATCACGAGGTCAAGAGATTGAGACCATTCTGGCACACATGGTGAAACCCCATCTCTACTAAAAGTGCAATAATTAGCTGGGCATGGTGGCGCGCGTCTGTAATCCCAGCCACTCGGGAGGCTGAGGCAGAATTGCTTGAACCCAGGGGGCGGAGGTTGCAGTGAGCTGAGAGATTGCGCCACTGCACTCCAGCCTGGCGACAGAGCCAGACTCTGTCTCAAAAAAAAAGAAAAAAAAATTCCTGAGTTTTCCCTCTAATGGAAGTATTCCTCTTTGTTTTGTGTTAAAAAAGTTTTAATTGATAGGTAATTCACATGCCTTAAAACACCCCTTTAGAGTGGCGAACTGGTTCAGTGGCTTTTTGTGTGTTCAGAGTTGTGCAGCCAGCACCGCTCATTTCAGAACATTTTCATCGGCTGGGCGCGGTGGCTCCCGGGGTGGGAGGGAAGATAGCTTGAGACTAGGAGTTTCAGACCAGCCTGGGCAACACAGTGAGACCCCATGTCTACAGATAATTTTTAAAAGATAAAAAATAAGAAATGTTTTTGTCACCCTACAAAGAAACACCATGCCTATTAGCAGCTTCTCTGCCCAGCTCCTGGCATCACGAATGTCAGTGATTTCCCTGTTCTGGACGCACAGCTGGAATCGGATAGTATGCCGCCTTCTGTGTCTGATCTTCACGTAGCTCAGTGTTCCCACGGCTGGTCCGTGGTGCTGAGTCTGAACGATAATCTCTTGTCTGGTGACCACATTTCTTGGCCTCCTTCCTTTGTTGATGGACGTCAGGGCAATTTCCCCTTAGACTGCTGGAGGAGGGCAGGACTTCTTGAAGGTTATGGCTACCGGACACCCCACTGTCTGAAACGGTCTAACCAGCCCCATTGGTGAGCCTTTATGGCCCTTGGGATCCTGGTCCGCAGGCTGCAGTGAGGACCCTGGGACTGCTTGTGCCCGAGTGTGGCAGGCAGGGCGGCTTCTGGAGGTGGGATCTGGGTCAGAGTTACTTCGTGCATGTCCAGTGACTGCCAGTAGACGTGGCGCCGGCAGTTACTCTCCAACTGAACCGTCTTCGGTCCTGAGGGCTGTTTCTTTTATCACTGTAGATGCTCGTGTGTGTGAACCAAGCGTGCACACTGAATCTTTCGTTGTGAAGTTGACCTTTGATTTGAACCTTTGTCTCATAGTTTCACTGTCCAAAATGTCACCCCTTCCCCCTTTTTTTTATACAGGGTGTTGTCACAAATTTTGAAATTTTCCGAATGAGGGAGAAACAGGTACCTGTGGATGTGGTCGAAATGAAAGGCAAGTTGTATTTTAGTCACTTTGAGGTGAATGGGGCCTCTGTGCTGTTTACTCTTGGCTTTTAACACTTCCATGCAAGGGATTGTCTGAGCAACAGAGTCAGGACTGTGAGCCCACACCATGAGTAGCCATCTCCAGGTCATAGAACGTGTTTAGAGCCTGGGCAATGTAGTGAGACCCTCTCTGTACAAAAAAAAAACAGCGGTAGTCCCAGCTGTTCCAGACACTGAAGTGGGAGGATCACTTGAGCCCAGGAGCAGAGGTTGCAGTGAACTGAGATTGCGCCCCTGCACTCCAGCCTGGGTGACAGAGCAAGACCCTGTCTAAAAAAAAGAGACAAGAGATTGAGCCTGTGTTCTGGTTAGGCTTTTTGTTTTGCCATGGAAAAAAGGAGGAAGGAAGGACAAAAATAGAGAAGTGAGAAAACGTGAAACCTGGCCACCTTTCCAGGTAGGAGACTGGAAGTGAGGATCCCACTGTAGGTGCCACACTGGGTGCGAGGGAAGCGGCACCCACAGCTGCCCACGTCAGGCTCCTGCGGTCCCGCTGTGGGCGTCCTGCCGTGGAGGTCCCGCCGTGGGGGTCCCGGTGTCCCGCTGAGGGAGAGAGCAGTTTCACATAGGTCACTCCACATGAGTGGAAGCAGCTGTCTCTGAAACTCCAGGAATGTGCACCTTCCCTGCTGTTGCTTGCTCTCTGGTCCTTTTAATGAACTTTTAAATGTTGGAGGATATTTCTCTGTGGTTGAGTAGTGAACATTTTAACTGATCAAGAGCATTGGGTTCTGAGTTGACTAAAAAGGGAGTGGTCTGTTTTGTCCATTTTAGAAACCATCATAGCCTTTGCCTGGGAACCAAATGGAAGTAAGTTTGCCGTGCTGCATGGAGAGGCTCCGCGGATATCTGTGTCTTTCTACCACGTCAAAAACAACGGGAAAATTGAACTCATCAGTAAGTAGCCTAGTCCCTTTTTCTCTTCTGAACAGGTCAGCACGAATCATGACTCAGTTCTTGCCCAGCAGTGAGCATTTGACTGGCCTAGGACCACTGCTGGGCAGGCCGGGACTCGCCTGTGAGTGGGGCGTTGTGGGCTTGGCTGATGAAGTGAGTGATGGCCTGGAGGTGCTGCCTCCTTGTGGGGTGCTTCTCTGAGCCCCGTTGGGCCCTCACGTTTAAGCAAGTATTTCTAAGGCTTCCATTCTCTGCCATCGTCTGGAGTGAAGCTTTTTCCCTTCTGGCTGTAGCTGTCGTCCCTGGGCTCAGGGTCACTTCCTGTGGACATGCTCCTGCCAGTACCCAGTCTGAGTCGGGTGCCTCTGACCAGGGTGTGCAGAGCTGTTGCACACGGCTGTGCCCTGCCCCGTGCACCTGGTTCCAGGGGCACCACACTGCACCCACCTGGGGCTTGCTCCTCAGTGGTGCGGGGACGCTCTCCTGTCTCATGGTAGCTGCCGCCTGTGCCCTCAGCTCCTCACTTCATCCTGGGGTCTCTGCTCAGCATAGAGCCTGGTGCCCGCGGGGATTGAATGAGCCATTGTTTGTTGCTTCACAGGCGTGGTGTGTGTGTGGCAGCCGGGAGGTGGTGATGGGCTGTGTTCCTCACCCACAGGACTCTGGCTGCCAGGTGCCCTCCTGCAGAGCCATAGGTTTGGCCCTGTACTTGGAAGGGGTTGGAATCTCCTGGCCGCACCTTTCGCAGCATGATTCTGTGAGGAGTTTAGTTTTCACTTTGCTAGAGCTTGGCAGGGTGTGTGGTGCCCTCAGTTGGCAGTGGATCACAATTGTCTGTTTCATTAATTCCGGTTGATGTAAACATATGGGCAGTTGCAGACTGTCCAGAGACTTGCTTAAGTCTTCTAGGTCATAAAACGTACGGCAAGCAGAGGCACCTTGTACCTTCCAAACGTGTAGTGTGACATGCCTCTCCTGAGGTTTGGCATGGACTCTGGGGCCACTGTGTGGGCTCTGTCCCATTCCCGTGACTGTTGGGGTGTTCGTTTGTACAAGTCTGAGACCCCTGCCCCTGCCAGGGTGCACTGCCCTGCTCCGTCTCCTCCCCTTCTCCCCACATCAGCCTGCCCCACGCCTCTTTTTTTGGATGTACCGCAGGCTTAGGAGAGAGAGGCCACAGGTTGTCAGCTCTGTCTGAGACGCAGGGAGCATGTGCTCTGAGGGGGACTTGAGCCCAGCCCCAGCTGGCCTTCTCCCCGCTCCCGTGGCTCTGCCTGAGATCCCTCCTGGAAGTAAGAGTTAGTACCTGGAAAGGTGATGACTAGTCAGTTTCAACAAGCATAGCTTATCCAAAGACGCCTTGTCGCTAGGAGAGTGGCTTTAGTCTTTCAGGGTCATGTATCTCTGACGTCTTCTCCCTGCTGGGGACCCTGCAGCAGTGAACATTTGCCGTAAAGGGAATTCTTTGTCCAGTTACCTCAGGAAATAAGATAGTCTTGTTTTGAAGTACCCCTGTCATATCTTCTCTTTTTTTTTCCCATTTAAAGTGTGGATCGTGACTCGGGGTACTTAGCGATGGACTTTGTAAAACTGTTTTCTGAGGTGGTTCGGCATTACTGGCTCTGCCCACGTGGGCAGCTTGAGCTACAGCCAAGTCCTCCAGCCTTGGCGGCCCCGGCACCGTGGAAGCCTCGCAGCTCGTGACGGGCGCTCTCTTTCCTTTCAGAGATGTTCGACAAGCAGCAAGCAAACACCATCTTCTGGAGCCCCCAAGGACAGTTCGTGGTGTTGGCGGGCCTGAGGAGGTAGGTGTACATGCTCTGAGCCTGTCCGCCTTGTGAGCAGCACTCGGCCTGCTGTGGCAGAGACCCTCAGGCGCCTGCACCAGCTTCTTGGTAGAGGGAGTATTGTGCACTGAGAGGGTTACCCCGGTGTCAGTGGATGGGAGTTTATGAACCTTTGCGGACCCATGGCACTCCAGGACTTGGGCCAAGCCAGGATAGATTGAAATAAGCGCTTCTGCGGGGCGCGGTGGCTCACGCCTGTAATCCCAGCACTTTGGGAGGCTGAGGCAGGTGGATCACAGGGTCAGGAGATCGAGACCATCCTGGCTAACACGGTGAAACCCCATCTGTACTAAAAATACAAAATATTAGCCAGGCTTGGTGGCGGGCGCCTGTGGTCCCAGTGACTTGGGTGGCTGAGGTGGAAGAATGGCGTGAACCCAGGAGGCAGAGGTTGCAGTGAGCTGAGATCGCGCCACTGCACTCCAGCCTGGGTGACAGAGTGAGACTCCGTCTCAAAAAAGAAGAAATAAGCGCTCGCAGATGCTTTCGTGAAGTGACCAGGCAGACCCGTCTGCGAGTTGTGGTTCTTCGTGGTTAAACAAGTGCCTTCCAGCAATCCAGTTACCACCCCCAGGGGTTCAGTCCCGTGTCTTCTAGCAGGAAGGGTATTAGTTACACAGCTGTGAGGCTGCCTTACCTCTGTAGTTTGTGTCACGTGCTGGTCTCAGCTGTGTTCCAGCAGTGTGTCGAAATCGTGGAGAAACTTCCAGCTTAAAGAGTACCCTTTTGTTGCTGCTCTCCCTTGCTTCATTGTCCACACTTGCTGCTGTATTTTTGAAGGCTTACTTAGCCCCAGATAACATTTCCAGTAAAAATAATAGTGATGGCAGACGTGTGTACTACTCACCACACACTCTGCATCTGTGACTTGGTACGTCTCACGGTGGCCACCAGAGGCTGTTGCCGTGCTTGTTTCCATGTTAACGCCGAGGCTGGCTCCCTGGGGACCCCATGCTGCAGCACCTCTCAGGAGTGGGATGCCAGGAGGTACGCGTCTCCGTGAAGCCTGACGGTCCTGTCTGTCTCTGCAGTATGAATGGTGCCTTAGCGTTTGTGGACACTTCGGACTGCACGGTCATGAACATCGCAGAGCACTACATGGCTTCCGACGTCGAGTGGGATCCCACCGGACGCTACGTCGTCACCTCTGTGTCCTGGTGGAGCCATAAGGTGCAGGCCCGTGGGCATAGCTTTGGCTGTGGATAGAAGCAGGGATTGCCGGCTGGCTGCTGACTCTGGTGCTGCCCTGGGACCTTGGGGAAGGGGCACAAGCCTCTGTGTTTAACAGAAGCCTTGGCTGGTGTTCGTGGCAGGAGGAGGAGGATTCTGGGTTGTAGAAGAGGTGGCGCCGAGTGCAGGAGCAGCTCCCGCTCATGGTTGCAGGGCGGGTGGGGGTCTTACCCTGGGCCTGGGGACCCTTGAAAGGTAGTGAGAATGTGTCATACACAAGTGTTTTTCTGCAGAGAGGAGTCACTTCCTTTGAAGTCTGAACAAAGTTCTGTAACCACAGACATTAAGATCTCTTTGGGGTCATTGGTTGAGTCCAGCTGCTGCGTTGCCCACAACGCTTATTCCAAAACTGCTGGTTAAATTTGTCGAGGACTTTCAGTATTTAATGACTTGTAAAACATTGATGGAGGTATTGACACTTGAACCAGTCCATGCAAATAGAGCCTGTGAGACCAAACTCGGGTAATTTTGTTTAATGAGGTACAGAACTCTTAGGAGTATCAACTTCCCAAATACGACTACAAGTGTCGAGAGTTAGAAATCTTCACGTTGGAATGAGGATATGTTGATGGCAGCCTCTGTTCAGATACGTTGAGATGTCACTTCGGTGGGGCCCACCTCAACCCTTGAAATCACCTTAGGCCAGGCACAGTGGCCCACACCGGTTGTCCCAGCACTTTAGGAGGCAGAGACAGAAGAATCACTTGAGCCCAGGAGTTTTGAGATGAGCCTGAGCAACAGCGAAACCCTAGCCCCATTTTAAAAAAATAAAAAAGACCTTTTAAGTTGTTGACCACTCTCCTTGAGGTATACACACTTAGCTCCCAAAATGCCGGGCTGCAACAAGATGTCTATGCCGAGGGCCAGCGAGTGCGCCCTCCTTCATGAGAGAGGCCTGCTGTGAAGAGAGTGGAGCCTGGTGGCGCGTAGTGATGCAGTTAGCTTACATCCAGCACAGGCTTCAGCACAGCTCACACCCGGCAGAAGGTTCAGCACAGCTCACACCCGGCAGAGGGTTCAGCACAGCTCACACCCGGCAGAGGGTTCAGCACAGTTCACACCCGGCACAGTGCTCCGCACAGCTCACACCCGGCAGAGGGTTCAGCACAGTTCACACCCGGCACAGTGCTCGGCACAGCTCACACCCGGCAGAGGGTTCAGCACAGCTCACACCCGACAGAGGGCTCAGCACAGCTCTCACCCGGCAGAGGGCTCAGCACAGCTCACACCCGGCAGAGGGCTCAGCACAGCTCACACCCGGCGCTGGGTTCAGCACAGCTCACACCCGGCAGGGGGCTCAGCACAGCTCACACCCGACAGAGGGCTCAGCACAGCTCACACCCGGCAGAGGGCTCAGCACAGCTCACACCCGGCAGAGGGTTCAGCACAGCTCACACCCGGCGCTGGGTTCAGCACAGCTCACACCCGGCACGGGGCTCAGCAGTGCAGTGATGCAGTTAGCTTCCATCCGGTCCCGGGTTCCGCACAGCTTATATCTGGCGTGGGGTGCAGCGGCACGTGGTGGTGCAGTTAGCTTCCATCCAGCATGGGGTTCGTGTTGCCAGCAGGACCGCGCAGGCCTGTGCTGTGATGAGCGCTGCTGCGACTGCTCTGTGCCCTGCACTCTGGGTCGACTGCATCACTGAGGTGTCTTTCACTGACTGCCCACCTCCGCTGCTGTTGGCTCTGCACAGGCAGAGCTTTGTTTGCTTCACACGTGTCCCCGATACCCAGGACCTTGTGCAGCAGTGACATAGTCACAGTTGTGGCTCTGCTGATCCCTCTGTGTCCTGGTGTGGCCCTGCCCTCGCCTAGGTGGACAATGCATACTGGCTGTGGACTTTCCAGGGCCGCCTTCTGCAGAAGAACAACAAGGACCGCTTCTGCCAGCTGCTGTGGCGGCCCCGGCCTCCCACACTCCTGAGCCAGGAGCAGATCAAGGTCAGCGTCCCCCCATCCCCGCTGCAGGGCACTGGAGGCGATTGTGGCATTGAAAAGTAGTCAGTTTTTCTGTTATTGTTATGGTGGTGAGTGGGGGATAGAACCGTGACATTTGCAAGGACGCCTTGAAGAGATGCAGGAACAGTGAGAACTGAATGGAATAGAACAGCTCTAGGAGAGTAGTCTGAGGCTTCCAGCTTGTTTAGGGGAGTTTTGCATGAACCCGTGGGGTAGATGAAAAGATACCAGGGCCATGAAAAAGTCCTGGTGGGAATAGAAGCGGCTTGTCGGGGGTTTACATAATTGTGGTAAAATAGGCCGATAGGTCAGAGCGAGGAGGAGGGTTAAATCCCAGGAAGAAAGTCTGAAGAAAGATGGAGGAAGGAGCGGGCGCGAGCACTCCTGAGAAGCTGTTCTATGAATGACCCTGGGTGTCACCTCATGTCGGCAACTCTGAAGATTGCATTTGTGCTTCTTGCTTGGAATGTTAAATCCTGAGTGGCGGGTCTTTTGTTTCAGCAAATTAAAAAGGATCTGAAGAAATACTCGAAGATCTTTGAACAGAAGGATCGTTTGAGCCAGTCCAAAGCCTCAAAGGTGAGCCTTGTTCCCCAAAGGGAGGGCCGTGCTGGGACATCTGCCGCCGTGGCAAAGGCGGGCCCGCATCAGGGCTGCAGGCGGCGCTGTGTGTGTGCGCAGAGTTGCTTCTGCCCTGAAGACACTGGTTCTGTTTCTCCCCTAGGAGGAATGCAGTGGGGAACTGGGGCTGGCACAGGGGCCTGGAGTTGCGACCTCACTGCTGCCTTGTGGGCGGGGGACAGTGTTGGGGGAAGAGTGAGCATGAGGGAAAAGTGAAAACGAATGGAGTGGCCATTCCTGCTTGAGCGCCTCCAAATGCTGTCATCCTGGCACTGTCCAGCTGGGTATGGGCTCTTCGCGATGGGGAGGCACGTGTCTTACCAGTTCTGTGGCTTTCCCTAATCTCACGCATAGGAATTGGTGGAGAGAAGGCGCACCAAGATGGAAGACTTCCGGAAGTACCGAAAATGGCCCAGGAGCTCTATATGGAGCAGAAAAACGAGCGCCTGGAGTTGCGAGGAGGTAACGTAGAGATCCCTCTGTCACCAGGAGCTGGCCCTTCCGCCGCCCACAGGCCACGGTGCACGCGGACTCCTGCGTTCTTCCCACTGGCCTCGGTGGTGCCACTCGGCATGTGCCCCCGTGGGTGACCTGCGCCCTTTGTCCTCTCAGGTGTGGACACTGACGAGCTGGACAGCAACGTGGACGACTGGGAAGAGGAGACCATAGAGTTCTTCGTCACTGAGGAAATCATCCCTCTTGGGAACCAGGAGTGACCTAGGAGCGCTGTGGTGAGCGTCTGCAGGGGGCGCGGCGGGGTCCCCGTTGGCTGCTCTCAGCTGCTTCTGTTATCCCATCACTGAGAAAGCACCTTCTTTAAGGCAGAGGTGAAGCCCCAGTGTCGTGTGCCCAGGGTTAGCTGAGCCTCGTGTGAAATGTGGAGTTGGTGCCGACGTGGCCTCGACTGCTCCCTCTGATCACATCGAAGATGATGCTTTTCAGGCCATGCTGGGTGAGGGAGGAGCCGTGGCCAGGTGCTGGGAAGTGCTAGGAAGAGGAGGGTGGCCGTGCCTGGCCATTTCCTGACGCCTGTGCTAGTGATGGCCGCGGTGTGTCCACCAGACAGAAACGCTGGCGTGCGCGGCTGCGACTCTGGTTCTGGTAGTTCTGAGAGGAGCCTTCCAAGTCGGGGTCTGGGGAGCAGAGTGCGGGAGCTCCTGAGTCCTGGGGGCCTCCGTGCCTCACAGCACGGGCATGTGTGGGACAGAAGGCCTAGTGGGGTGTCTGAGGGTGGCCTGGTTGCTGTCCTCAGGGCGGGACCATGAGTGAGCAGGGGTGGCATATGGGCTCGGCTCTCTGTGGCCAGGGCGGCTCCTGTTGCGGGACTCAACGTCAGCCCCAAGGCGATGTTCAGGGGCTCCCTCAGCATTTTGAGGTGCTGTTTAGGGCCGCCATGCGTGCCTGTCCAGGGGGCAGACTGCACCCGCTGCTCCCGCACTGAGCTGCAGGACAGAACGTGAGCCGCGGTTCCTCTGTTGCAGTGCGGCCGCGTGTGGTATGTGGAGCCGAGGCCGTCCTGCAGGAAGCCCACGTGACTGCCGCCGCCTCCCCGTGCTCTGTGGCTCTGGACTGTGACCGCGCCTGGATTCTGCCATTGCGACACGTTTTTGTGCCTTTCAGCCCCTGGTGTCTGCAGTGGGGTGTTTAAGGCACCCGCTTCCACTTCTTTCTTCTTTTTTTTCCCTGAGATGGAGTCTCGCTCTGTCGCCCAGGCTGGAGTGCTGTGGCGCGGTCTCGGCTCACTGCAAGCTCCGCCTCCCGGGTTCCCGCCATTCTCCTGCCTCAGCCTCCCGAGTAGCTGGGACTACAGGTGCCCGCCACCTCGCCCGGCTAATCTTTTGTATTTTTAATAGAGACGGGGTTTCACCGTGTTTGCGAGGATGGTCTCAATCTCCTGACCTCGTAATCCGCCCGCCTCTGCCAAAGTGCTGGGATTACAGGCGTGAGCCACCACGCCCGGCCCACTTCTTTCTTGTTTGGAGTTTTCTGTCGGAACCACTGGTATTGGCTCTGTAGACTCTTAGCAACGCCGCCGGCAGCACCTTCTGCGCCCAGTGATGTTTCCATGGTGCCTGTACACAGCTGAGCGGCATTTCCGTTGAAGGACTTGCATCCCCATCGCGGGCAGTGCTGGACGTGTCCCGGAGACCCACCGGGAGGGCGCCGCCATGCCTCATACCCCCACCGTGCAGGTTGTGGCCGGTTTTCTCCACAGGTTGAACGTGGAAATAAAAGCAAACTTGTATGAAACACCCGTCTTTCTCCTCTCTTTGAATGTAGATAGTGACCTTGAACTTGGTGCCTGCCTCCCTCCCCAGTGGCAAGGGCCTGCTTGCCCAGCCAGACCTCCGCAGGGCCCTGTCCTGTCCAGTCGTCACACACACTTGGCCACCCTGTGTCCGGCGATGCACTAGGCACGCCAGTCTCTTCGGTTGTGTTGTTTTCTGTGAAAGATGCTGGTCGTTTTCCGTGGTGAGAACCGTGTGACTTTTCCCTGGACTTAGACATGTTGGGAAACTTGTATTGAGAATGGTCAGTTCTGCCCGTTTTTAAATTTTAGACGGTGTCTCGCACTGTCGCCCAGGCTGGAGTGCGGTGGCACGATCTTGGCTCACTGCAACCTCCTCCTCCTGGGTTCAAGCGATTCTCCTGCCTCAGCCTCCCACAGTGCTGGAATTACAGGTGTGAGCCACCATGCCCACCATGCCCGGCCAGTTCTGCCCATTTTTATGCGGTCATCTTGAAATTGTTTCCTGTTGGGAAGGGAGCACATAAATTGGGGGAATTTCAGCCCCTCCTGTTTACAGGGTCTCACTTCCCAGCAGCACCTGTGACCCTGCAGTTTCATCCACCTCTTCAACTTGTCAGACCTGAGGCAGCACTCAGAACTCAGCCAAGGGATGTTTACAAACCTAAGGCAATGTCTGGAGACGGAGGGGCTGTAATTCACGGGGCAGAGGACCCAAGTGCCTGCCGCCCTGGAGGAGTGGCCTAGAGCCTCGGGTCCCACGGTCTCCCAGGTGTGTGGAGGGTGCCTTGGTGCATTTTCTTTTTTATGAGCCCTACGTTTCTCTCATCTGTGATTCTAAAATTGTAGAATGGTTGCAATCCTGCCGTTTGTCCTGTGTCCCTCCAGTGCACATTTTATTAGTAATTCTTGTTTACACTCACGCTGCTTAAACTCTAGTGTGCCAAGAAACAGTTTTTCTGATTTCATGGAAAGAAAGACACAGAGTTCTACCACATGACAGATTGTGGTAGAACTGTCATGGTAGAACAGACCTTCTAAAAACATTAACTTCCCACTTTTAAATGTACTAGTTGTCATTGTTGCATATAATTCATAAATAAAAGATTTCTGAAGCCCTCGTGTTGGTTTTAACTTTGCTGCGGTAGACGTGGATCTCCCAGAGCCGGCCTGCTGCGGAGGGACTTCCTGGGTATCAGGGTCCCCAGGGCTGGCAGGCTCAGGACGTCAGGGTGGGCTTGGGACCCCTGCTGCAGGCACGGCCTTGGTTGTGTTTCGGGAGGCCAAGGCAGGCAAGAACGCGGGGACCCATAGCTGTGTTCCTGGCAAGTGCCTTGGTCAGACGCTGGAGCCTCATCCTCGTAGAGGAATGGGACGTGGGTGTTGGGGGTGTCGCCCCATCCTTGCCAAATCCACGTGGCAGGGGTTTCCTGCGGCACAGCACTGACCCGGATGCCAAGGAAGAGGGATGTGGCCAAACATGCCCTGGCCTTGCCCAGCTGAGCTGCCAGGCAGTCGGCTTATAGGAAAGGCACGGTGGCTCTTGGGAGGGCTTGAGTCGCCTACTCTGGCGGGCATGGACCCCCAGGCCCTTTCAACTCCATAGTTAGAATCATGAAGTTGGACTTGCCAGGTTTGAACAGCTTGGATCTAATCTTAGCGTGATTTCTTTCCTTTTTGTGTGTGTATGCGTGTGTGTGTGTGTGTGTGTGTTTGTTGAGACAGGGTCTTGCTCTGTTGCCCAGGCTGGAGTGCAGTGGCATGATCTCAACTCACCGCACCCTCTGCCTTCCGGGTTCAAGAGATTCTCATGCCTCAGCCTCCTGAGTAGCTGGGACGATAGGCATGTGTCACGCCCGGCCTGGCCTTGGTGTGATCTCTGTCAGTGCAGGAGCGGGTTTCTGTGCTTGGCACCGACCCTGGCTCTGGACAGTGTCGTCCTGCACTCTGGTTAGTGCAGCCTGGTGGGGTAAGGTGACCTTGGGGTGTGGGTTCACAGTTCGGCATCCCCCCCGCGCCCGGGCTTGCAGTGGAAAAGTTGAGCACAGTCTTAGGTGTTGAATACATCTGAGAGCGAATCTGAGCACTGACTGGGAAAGTGGAGGAGACCACGCCTAGTGCATCAGAGACGTGGTCGTGGGCCAGGCATGGTGGCTCACGCCTGTAATCCCAGCACTTTGGGAGGCCAAGGCAGGCAGATCACCTGAGGTCAGAAGTTCGAGACCAGCCTGGCCAACATGATGAAACCCCGTCTCTACTAAAAATACAAAAATGAGCTAGGCATGGTGGCAGGTGCCTCTAATCCCAGCTACTTGGGAGGCTGAGGCAGGAGAATTGCTTGAACCCAGGAAGCGAAAGTTGCAGTGAGCTGAGATTGCACCACTGCACTCCAGCCTAGATGACAGAGCGAGATTCTGTCTCAAAATAAAATAAAATAATGGGCATGGTGGTGCACGCCTGTAGTCCCAGCTACTCGGGAGGTTGAGGCAGGAGGATCACTTCAGCCCAGGAGTTCAAGGCTGTGGTGAGCCAAGATTGCACCGCGGCACTCCAGCCTGGGTGACAGGAAAAAAAAAAAGAAGCGTCGCCGTTGGAAACGGCACTTGGAGTCCAAGTTGCTCAAGTTGCTGAGTGAAGCTTCAGCTGCTGCCATTTGTCTGCTTCAGGAGAAAAGCTCCAGGTCCATCCTAGTCTCTGCGTGAGGGGCCCTGGGGTGGGCAGCGCCTCTCCTGGGCTCAAGGTGGGAGAGGGACCCACCCTGCAAAGAAGAGGGGCAGTCCCTCCACCTGCATCCTGGTGGATGTCAGGCCGGCTCATGTGCACCAGGTGAGGCACGTGGAAACCCGGGGTTGCCATAGTGAGGGTGGAGAGAGAGGCTGCTGTCCCTGTGTGCAGAGGTGATCGGGAGGGCCACCCTGCTCCTTGGGGCGCCAACCACCTAAGCGGTTCCAGCCCGGCTCCCCCGAGGCCCAGCTGATGTTACCTAGGCCGGGCGGGGCTGAGTGCAGGCAGGTCTCACCTCTGTTGGGATAGCAGGGAGTGCGTCCCACTGCCCATGCCCTCCGGCGAGGCTGCAGGTCCCTCCCCGGCCCGGGACAGCCCGGTGGTGTTGAAAGAGATGGAGCCCAAGGACCAGCCACTCATGGTGAGCGCCCTCCCTCATGTCCCCACCCCCCCACACTGCGAGTGCCCGCTGCCCGCCGCCTCCCAAGCCTGCAACCCCAGCAACCCCTCTGTTATCAGTCCAGTCTACTCCCCAACTTTCCCTCCCTGGAAGCTAGCTGCCCTGCCTGCTCTTCCCCACCACCTCCCCATCCTTGCCTTAAGCCTCCAGACACCCTCTCTACCTTAATCCCCATGCTGCTGGCACCTGGGCGGGTGGGCTCCGGGCTCCCCAGCCCCCTCCCCGGGCCCAATCCAGGCCATCTGCTGGGGGACTCAGAGCCTCTGCCAACTGGACAGCGGTGAGCTGAGCTGGTGACTTGCCCCAGTGCTGTAGCTGGGTAAGAAGAGATGCCAGTCATGACTGTCCCTCAGTCACAGCTGCTGTTTCTACCAAAAAACTGTGTCCCTTTTACAGAGGGGGAAACGGGCATCCTGGGGCCACAGCTCCTATGCAGCTGGGGTGGGTTTGAGGCTGCGATCTGGCCCTCAGAATAGGGAGTGGGGAGGGCAAGGCCCACAGTTTCCCCTCGGGGAAGTTTCCCCTGAAGGAGCTCAGCGTCTCTTCTGGAGGTGGCAGGACCGGGAGGTGAGGCCTTGGGCAGAAGGTGAGGCCTTGGCCAGGCATTCCCTGCCGTGTGCCCCAGCCTCCCCAAATGCTCAGTGAGGGAAGCCACGTCTTGTTGGGGGCATGGGCAGCCCCGTGGGAGTGAAGTCAGAGCCCACTCTGAGGGGTGCGGGGCTGAGCCGCTGCCTTTGCCTCTTCACGGAGACTGAGCAGATCCCAGAGCCAGAGGGCCGGGGTGGCAGCTGGGCTGCAGGGTGGGGCCCCGAGGATGAAGAGGGCCCGTGCAGCTGCCCTGGTGACCGCCTGCAGGTGGCACTTCAAATCCGCCCACCCAATGACGCAGAACTGGAGGAGGGAGCCACGGTCATTGCCCACAAAGTGGGGGACCAGGTGAGGCTGGGGCTCAGAGGGCTCTGTGCTGTCACAAGCTCACAGATGGGGCTCTGTCCCAGGGGTGCGGCTGAGACTGACACCGGGCCCACCCCACTGGGCCCAGTTTCTAGCCAGGGTTGGGGACACACAAAGTCAGGGAGAGATGAGTGCCACCAGCAGAATACAGCAGAGCCTGCGGGGTGGGTAAAGTCAGGGCAGGGGAGCGGGCTGGAGCCCCCCAGCAGGAGCATGCGGGGAGCCACAGAGCGGGGAGGGGCTGGGAGGAGGGCAGAGGCTTCAGCAGGCCCGGCTTTGAAATTGTATGGCTGGAAGGGGCCTGGGTGGCTGCAACTCAGCAGGGAAGGGCGCCAGCATGCTGTCCGTCACGGGGATTTCTGCTGCTTCGAAGCAGGCTCAGAAGTCAAGCTGTTGCCACAGGTTAGGGATGTCTGTGCCCTTGGTGGTCACTCACAAGAAGAAATGCCCAGCGTGGGGTGGAACTCAGTGTCGCCAGGTGGATCAGGTTTTCCCGTTTGTCATTAGAGAGGCCACTTCACAAGGAATGAGACGTGGCCCCTGGGAGTCATGTGCACTCAGGGGCAGGTGACCCTGGGTGTGTCAGAGGGAGCTCCCCGCTGAGCAGGGGGGCACCAGTCCTGGTCCCATATCAGGAGGCTCCAGGGAATCGTTGTCTGCAAGAAGATGAAATGGACAGAAGGTCAGGTGCACAGACATCTCCAGGGGGCGTGGACTGCAGAGAGGGCAGGTGAATCAGTGCTGAGTTCATGGAAAAGCAAACCAAAGAAACCAGACAGGCATTTAAGTCTAGGGGAGACAGGCTCTGCAGGAAAGGACACGGGAGAGGGGGTCGAGACCCAGGGAATCAGCTGAGAGAGTGGG